TTTATTAATTTAAAACTTATAATATTAAATATATTTATTTTTTTATTATATATATTATATAAAAATAATATAAAAAATTATCTACCATTTATGTCACTTTGAAAAAGCATTGGCGGCATTCCCATATCCGTAATTTTAGGTAAAAAAAACAGATCTGTTGGCCGAAAGTAGGGTGGGATCTGGGTCCCACATCAAAGGACTATTCTGTACTCTACCCGTTGCTCGTACGAAGATATTTCACAAAGGAACGAGGGTTTTATGGTAATTTGGAAATGATCCAGTTCCCGTCGGTAATCGCGTCGAGAATCCGAACCATTCTGGATGTTTTAGAAAACGGAGTCGTTTTGATGAATCATGCTTTTGCCTTCCGTTCTTTCCTGGTCACAATAATCCTTGTTCAGAAACAGAGATCGGAAACTCCGTCAAGCCGACGTCGATTGAGAGCTAGAAGATTGATTTTCTCTGTACGATTTGATATTCTTTATCTGAATCTCAGCTTGAATTTTTTAACTGTGAAATTAGGATTATTTTTACCGGCACGTTCTTAGATTTAGTTTTTTTTTTGGTGATTTTAATTCATGGTTCTAACGAGGGGATTGGGGACGTTTGTTTGATATCTTGCAGTTTCATAATTCATCTGGTATGGCGGGTAGAGCTCAGATCGCCACTAGCAACTCGGCTCTCATCGCAATGATTGCTGATGAGGTAGGAACACTTCCTTAGTTTTCCTATGGATTTAATGCTCATTCTTCAAAAGTAAGCAGTATGTGGTTCGAATTTTATGTGATTCCATTTTCATATCATGTTTTCATGCTTGATACTGGGATTTGGGAGCTTAGCCTGTAAATTTTGTGTAGGATGAAGATGGATCAATAAAGAAGGGAAAATTTTCATATGTTATAGCGTGATTTATCATGATTTGTGCTATTTTTCCATTAAGGATATGATGCCTGGATTTCGGTAGAACTTTGCAGCTAAGCATGGTCAGTTGAGTTGAATTATACGATTTAGGTGTATGATTGGAATATTGAACAACGTGAAATGGGTACATGTTTGATGCCATGAGTGTTAAGGTCGAGCAAAGTGTTTCTTAGAGTTGCAAAAGCCGCAGAGAGTTGATTAAAACCAGCTTGAATAAATTTTTTCAGGAACTTCACAGGCTAATATTATTCAGATTTAGTGAATTTGATGATCACGACTCTTGGGCATTACCTTTTACATGTATGATTTGTATTTTTTATTTGGTTAGGATACTGTGGTTGGATTTCTGCTGGCTGGAGTGGGTAATGTTGACTTGAGGAGAAAGACAAATTACCTTATTGTCGACTCAAGTATGCTCCTGAACTTTTGCATCTTTAATTTTTTGAAAAGCACTTTTTAAGTATGTTTTGTGTCAAACTGTTATCATCATTTTGTTTTTTATGATTATTATTATTATTATTATTATTTCTAAACCACTGTATCTTATAGGTAGGGGGAATATTAAATTGAATAGTTGTCATCTTAATTGAAACCTTTTGCTGTGCCTTTTAGAAACCACTGTCAAACAGATTGAGGATACATTTAAGGAGTTCACTGCAAGAGAGGATATTGCAATTGTGCTGATCAGCCAATATGTAAGTTTATCTTTGTTATCTTTAATCAGTTTCTTTAGCTTTTTCTGCATATATTTATTTGTTGATTGAGTTGTTCTATAGATTAAAAATTAAGCTTGCAAGTGTTGATTCATAAAGCTCTAAAGTAAAGCAACCGAAACCTATCACTCCAGGTCCTAAAAGTCACTCTTTATTAGTTGGTGTTCACATTAACCACATTCAGGTCAAAGAGACATATTGTGTATTATGATTGATTAAAGTCTTGAATAGCCTATGTTATTGTTTCATCAGTTGTAGTTTGAGAGTATGTTGTTTAGACTTGTGCAGAGGTGTTGGATACATACTAATGTCTGTCGTGATCTTTTCAATTTTGTTTCTTTATAAAGTTTGGATGATCATACCGAAATAGGCATGTCTATTTGAGTTGCTAACATGTTTTCAGCTTAATTTATATATCAATATAAAATGAAGAGTTAGAGTGTTTATTATCTCTTCTCTGCAACCTCTTGTAATGGCTCTGCATGTTGTGGTGTAATTAATAACAAACAAAAATCAAATGCTTTTTGGTTAACAGTTAACCTTCTTGATGCAAAGGTTGGTTAAGCTGTTAAGCAAGCTAACTACGGTTTTGGTAACAGGTTTGAATCAGTTCAGCTTTGTTGCTAGTTCTAATTTCTAAAGGTGGACATGAAACTTTTCTTTTGCTTGGTGTTTATTTATTTAGTATTTTTATTTTTCTCTGTTGGTTGGGAAGGAATGTTTGGCTGGATGAGGAAGTTTAAATTGTTTTCAACCTCATGTCTCAAAATTATAAATTCTGGATTACTATGTCTCACTGGCCCTTGCAGTCTTCTGATGAATTTTCTCGCTGCTTTGGTGGCTTTTATATTTTGATGATCTTAGTACAATATTATATGAAAATTAGACAAGTAACTCTTGCACTCTTAGGCTCTTGTAATTCTGAAGCTGTTCTGAGACAATCATGGCCTTTATTTAGTATTGCAATCATTAGAAGATCTGATTGCTGAATGATGTGGCCCTCTTTTTAATTTTCAGGTTGCGAATATGATAAGGTTTCTGGTGGATAGCTACAACAAGCCTGTTCCAGCAATACTAGAGATACCTTCAAAGGATCATCCATATGATCCTGCACATGATTCAGTTCTTTCCCGAGTCAAATACCTCTTCTCTACAGAATCAGTGGCATCCGGCCGGCGCTGAGTGCATTGTGACAACTTCACTGTCAAACCGTACTTTATCTCAATAATTTGTATATTATGAAATCCATCATTCTTTCAGACAGTTAGAAATCATCCTTTTCGCTTACCATGTGTTTCATTATGCAACTTTATTTTGGGAGTTTTTGTTATCATCTCCAATTAAATAAATTACATTGAACAAGATTGGTCAAAAGCAACTTCTTCTTTCTTTTTTTTCTTTTTTTTTTTCCTTCATTCAAGAATCGTTGTCTGTTGGTTTTTAGAAGAATAACATGAATATGGGTCACAGGCCTGTTCTTATTCTTGCAATCACACTACAAATGTTTGTGTGCAAATATTTGTGTAGATAAGGATACAAATTTTATATATTTTTTATTTAAGAATGTGAATTTTATTAATTTTTAAATAAAAATAGTAAATTTTTAATTTTTTTAATTTAAGGATATCAATTTAGTGTTTTTTTTTTTATTTAATGATGTTCACTTTACATTTTTTATATTTAAAGATTAATTAGATAGGTGGTGAATGGTTTTTTTAACTATTTAATTAGTCCTTAAATAAAAAAAATACAAAGTTGATATTTTTAATTTTAAAAAAAATAAAAATTTATTACTTTATTTAAAAACCAACAAAGTTCATATTTTTGAATAAAAAATATTGTGAAGTTCATACCATTATTTGCATATTTTCTCGAGAAATGGAAGAGTGAAGGTTCCACATATTGGGTAAGCAATGCCATTTTTCTTCTTATGTTGCTGGTGAGGTAAGTTGAACCTATCTCTCTAGGATGGGGGTTATGACCCTTTATGCCTTTACCTATTTTAGTACCAAGTTACAAGCTCAAGCACAAAAAGCAAGCATTTTCCTTTAGATTTCGGTTCATTCATGTTAGGTTTTGTTCCCATTTGACACGGGGAAGTGCTAACAGTTATTGATAAAAAAAATACCTAAGCTTAGACCTTTTTGGAAGCTTTCAGTCGTGTTTGTCTGTCTGTCTGACTTGAAATGGAATGGCAGTACTTCAAAGGATGCCGATACTGAATTTAGGTGAATAAGCAGTTCAGTTCAGGAATATTGCAAGGCGTTATTTTGCATTCCAACATCTTTGAAAGACAAAACATAAAGTTGAAGCCATGACATGATACTGAAACAAGTTTCTACTACAATAGAGCTTGTAAGCTTGTGGCTGAAAATAAAATAGTTAGGCCAACTCTATAGGAGTTCTCAAGAAAGTGCAGCTTTTAGTGACTTGGTAAAAGCTTCCAACGCCTTCAGTCCTTCTTCAGGAGTCTTTGCATCACCCAGCACCTTCACCATGGCGCTACCAATAATAACACCATCAGATCCCCATCCCATTACCTACACGAGATTTTTAAGAAAGTTGTTAACATCTATATGGACTATGGAGTCAGAAATGTTGCAGTACATGGGCATCGAGGCATGTTTGAAAGAGTAACCTGTTTTGCCTGCTCAGGAGTTGATATGCCAAAACCAACTGCCACTGGCTTGGTTGAAGCCTGTCATAACAAAAAGAAAAAAAAAAAAATGAACCATGACTCTATGAGGAACCCCGGAATTTATCCATGAAGGAATGATCATCCAGAACATTTGCTTTGATACCCCACTGGGATAGAAAGCAAATGCCAGTTTATTAAATTGGTATGCTAGTCAGTGATAAACATGATCTGTTTGGCAAAGATCAACCTCTTTAATGTCTTTTAGAAGAGTCTGAACCCGATCACTGACAGATGCTCGAGCACCAGTAACTCCGACTGAACTAACCTGTAATTTAAGGAGAGAAAGGGATATCAAAAAGGGTATTGAAATCTTTTAAGAATCACATCCATCTTGGCAATAAAAATCAACATACAGATGGGAATGTAGTGATAAAGAAAAAACACAATAAAACTTTTGATTGAACATAAATAGCCATCAAGGCATCAACTTTGGAAGAGAATCTTACAAGATACACAAACCCTTCTGCTGCTTCAACAATAGCTCTCATACGATCTGTTGGAGTAGTTGGTGTGGTAAGCAGAATCTTAATGACAAAAACAAAGAAATCATATTAGATTTGGCTATAAGCATTCATAAGGAAAAGAGAAGGGAATAGCTTCAGAAATGCAGTTGCATTCATACAAACTGAAGGGAAATTTTTTAAATTATTCTATAAATTAGATGTCTCATGCTTGGCTGCCAAAAAAACACCCTTTCCCAAAAATAAAATGCTATATCAAAAAAATAATTAAAAAAATCCTTAATATTGTGTTTAAACACAATCAACTGTCAACTGTCAAGAACTGAGGCCACCTTAATACTCTTATTATGGTCAAAGACTCAAAGTTCACGGCCGAGCTGTATTCTGAGCGGCAAAATACTTGTTGGGACAAAAAATATGGTGAAAAAAATAGTTTAAAAGAAAATATCTACACACCAATTCAATATTATGTTCGGTAGCTGCGCTTCTCAAAGTCTCAGTCTCTTCTAAGGGAACATCTGGAACCACAAGCCCTGAAAAAATGGTTTGAAGTATTAATGTGGCAACATTATATGGCACCAGAATTATCAAAGGAAATAAGGGAAAAGATAGGCAAATAGATAATAATACAGACTTAAGTGATATGCATTTTCCATTTTACATGGAGTCAATTAGACAATAGCAGAATAGAGAAACAATCTGTACAGTGCTGCGCCATTTTTCATTTTTATTTTTTAATCATAATAAGGGTCACTAATTTTTTCAATAAAAGGTTCTCTGTTTCTCTTTAACAATTTGAATGGATTAATGATCTAGTTTTTGGACAAGAAATTGTGTCTTCTTAATAACTTCTAGAAAGCAACAAAGCCTTTCACAAACTCTGGCAAAGAAAAAAAACAGGTGCAGATTTGCAGAAGGCTACAAAGAAACATGTGAGAGTGAAAAAAAAATCCAAACATGAGTAATAAGAATTATCCTACTATAGACTATCAATCATTCCAACTAGAGATGGAAATGCCATGATTTATCCCCAACCACTGCAGGCAGCATAACTAGAACCCTTCAGTTGAATATGATAATTTGAAGCTCATAAAAAGCAGAATATTCAGACCCAAACCAGGTAGAAACCTCAGTCATACGTTAAGCAATAATTTGCATATACATGAGAAGGTTGGGAGATGCAATTATGCAAATCCTAAATTATAGAATTCCATTATTTGCATTGCTTATTACATTACTATGAGGTGTATATGACAGCACTCATGCCACAAATATAGGATTTAAACACCTGTAGTTGTTTTGCTCTTATAAAACAATGGTTAATATAAGCATTCCATGAAGTAAATAGATACCATCACTGTTGAAAATCTAAAGACGAGTGCATAGAAAAAGATATACATTACCTCGTACACCTACATCCTTTATGGTGGACATAAAGTTCTCCACTCCACGCTTAAGAATTGGGTTGTAATATGTGAACAAAGCAAGTGGAGAAGACAACTGTGGAACCACCTGTCCAGAAATGACCAATATGTGATAAGAACATAACCAAAGAAAGGGGCAATAAGGATAATCAATCACAGATGGAGATATTTTACATCTTTCCTTTGAGTAGTCCTGGACATCTACATGGATGTATCTCTAACAAACCCTTATTAAAAATTGAAATTCTATGAAAATTAAAATTAAGGCTAAAAAAATGAACATTACAATTTTGTTGGGTGAGGCATGCATTCCATAATCCATAATTGAACAGGTACAAGGTTTTATGCACTCAATAATGAGCATAAGTAGGATCAATGGGGTGGTTATAACATACTCATTTAACAAATTTTATTAAGAAACAGGAAAGATAAACATGTGTAAGAAAAGAAGATACATTGCAGGAAATTTTTTTTCTAGATGAGCTGCCTGGAAAATTCATTGACCTTGAAACATGACAACAACATTGGTTGTATCAAAGTTTAGTATACCACCATGCCTTAAGAACTCTAATAAGATTTTAATGTTGACTTTTCCAAAATGGTGTGCCTGAAATTAAAAACCCTCCATCTTCAGACTAAAATGTACCAAACTATATCTAATTATCCTACCTCCTTCAACATTGAAATAATTGCATTGAAGTCAGTTCCTTTGGCCAAGGAGCGCGTAGCTGCAGCCTGTACAGAAAAAACATTACCAAGAGAGTTCAAAATAATAATTGAACATACAATACAACCACAGAAATACCATTGTCAAACCTGGATGACTGGACCATCTGCCAAAGGATCAGAGTATGGTACACCGAGTTCAATTATGTCGGATCCACAGGAATCAAGCAGCTTCAGCGCCTCGGCAGTTGTTGAAAGGTCAGGGTCACCAGCAGTAATGTATGGGATCAATGCCACCTTCAGACAGAAACATGCTTGTCAAAACAGGTAAATATCAACTCTGCAAAGTTTATAAAGTAAAGTCCTTTAAACCATTCTGATTTTTTTAAAATACACGAACGTGACATGTGACATGATTTGATGCGTCTCACTTAAAGTAAAGGACTTAATAATAGGTATGTTATATCATACATTATAATATTTTATTGTCAATATTTATTAAATGAATGCCGATTTTTATACTTAAATTTTACTGTTTAACAATTATAAATTAATATGTGAGGTGCATTTCTTAATTTAAAGATTGGAGTTTGAATCACCGTGCCCTCAAATTATAAACCTGTTAAAAAAAAAAAAATGAATGCCGACTTTAAGACCTAAATCTTGTGGTCCAAGGACCCTATACCTCACATCTAAGGTTCATCCTAAGGCGCATCTTGGGGTTGAATCTACACTCCCAAGTTATAAACCATTAAAAAAAAATGAATCCCGATTCCCAAACACACTTTGGACCAAAACGTTTCATCTTCTAACAAGCAACACCCCCTCTCTGAAAAACCCACATAACACTAAACAATGAAAACAAATACCCATTAAGTAAAAATGACGAAAAAACAACAAGGAACTGATTACCTTGCCATCTTTCTTCAACCTGGAGAAAGTCTCAGCGAGACCAGGAGTTGGAGCTGCGGTGAGGGCAGCCAAGGGAGTGAACCTCTTGACTGAAACAGAGGATTTCTCAAAGGAAAGACGATTGAGAGAATGGTTTTCCGGTTTCCTTAGCTGGAGGAAGCTGGCCGTCGATTTCAGGGAAGTAGCCATTATGATGCCAAGTCTTAAGTCACGGAAAAGCAGTCAGCAAAAAGTTGACAGTTCAAAGGATTTGACAACAGAAGAGTTTCCGTTTCAACATTGATTTCTTTTTTTTTTTTGTCCCCATTATTTATATGATAATTTTGGGGTTTATTTAAATTTTCTTTTTCATTTTTTATTTGAAAATTTGAAAATACCTGCCTAAATATTAATTACTTAGCATGTGAGGGCTGTGGGGTTGTTGGGATGTTTATGGAAAGGCAAATACCAAATTTTGTTCTTTCATGAAATTTAGTCTAATTTTTATCATAAATATCTGCTATCCTTCTAACTTTTTATTTGAATAAGAAATGGTCCCTAAGTTTTTTTAAATTACTAAGTCTAATTCTACCTTTAGTTACTTCCATTACATTTTTAACAAAAATTTTAAATGAAATTTATAAAACTTACCAGAAGCTTTGAATATAATTTTTTTTTTTAAAGACGGGGTAAAACCATTCTTCACTTTTCTAAGGGGAGACATATATTTCCTCCTTTTTTTTTTTTTTTTTGAACATTACTTACTCTTGTGTATTTGCAAGTGGATAACAAACTTTTTTTCAAGGTTGTTTGTAAGCCTTATAGGATGCAAGCTGGACTTATGCAATTATACAAAAAATTATCAGTCTTGAAGGATGTCATGTTAAGACTATATATGGATAACAAATTTTGACAGTTATTGGCATTCATACGAATGACTACATTTGACTAATTGCATAAATAATTGTTTTGATTAAAGATAAAGAAAAACTGAAAATGGTTTCTAGGCCATTTAAAAAAGTTAAGAATTGAAAAATCAAAGAAATAAAGAATGGTGCATAATGTCGGATAGGCATAATGTGCTTAAAAAATGTTTCAACAATGTTTAAAAAAAAAAAAAAAAGGAAATATACATTTAGTCTTGGAAAAAAGAAGAAGGGTTTAACCTTTTGTTTTTTTTCTTTTTTAGGATCATAATGAATCTCCAGAATTGCAATTAGGATTTATGTTTGAAACTTAACGGAAGTAACTAATGGTCGAATTATACTTGTTGATTTTGAAAAAATTGTGGGCTATTTATGGTATAAATGAAAGGTTGAAACACCATCTAATATTTATAGTAAATGTTAAGGACCAAATAAAGTATTTACCCTTTATAAATACTTTAGGGTGCACCTTAAAAGAGTGAGGTAATTATCAGATTTTAAATAGTTTATATCACATTTTTTTACTATAATATTATACTTTTATACTATATTTTTTCTCAAAAATTTATATTTTTTTGTTTTACAATAAATTAAAAAATATAATAATTAATTAAAATAAAAAATATGTCATTAATAATTGAGAATGTGAGAATTACATCACCCATTTTAAAAATGAAATAAATCTTTTTTTTTCATTAACATGTAATTTTATTGAAAAAAATGTTTTTCAAATTGGATTACACATTAAAAATACAAGTCAATTGATAAATTTAAGAAAATATTTTTAATGAAAGTCATCTCTATATCATTTCACTAATGAAAGCTTCGTAATTTCGATAATCAAACAGCACTTTTAATGTGCAGTATGACTTTAAAAACACGAATTTTAAATTTTAGTCATAGAAATTGATTATTTATGTGAATTTATTTTTATTTTCTTACTCTATTTTTATTTGGTAAAAATAAAATTATCTACCTAAATATTAATTTTAAAAAATATTGTACAATTTAAATAGATTATACTAAATAGTATAAATGAAATTATTAGATAAAAACAAGTTCTCTATGTACCACAAAAAAAAAAAAAAAAAACAAAGTCTCTAATATTAAAATTTATCTCTCTCACCCAAATACTGCAAAATAGGAAACTTATATTAATTTACTTACCATGTTAGGGCTATGGGGGTTGTTGGGATGCTCATAAAACTAAGTTTTAAATACTTTAATTTGTATCTTAAAAATGGAATAAACTATTTATTCATTAGGAAAATGATACATGCTATGAATTGAGGATGTAACTCAGGTAACCAAAGTATGTGGCAAGCCACGTGTGCTGCTGACATGTCTTTTTTTTTAATTAAATCAACAAAATAGCTTTAATTTTCAATTACTCTTAAACCTCGTTCCCAATTTTATCTTAATTTGAATCGACTCTTCAATGTTTAATTGTTTGTCCTTAAATTTTAGTATTTGAATAAAATGAATCAAAAGTTTAAATCTCACCAACCACTTGAATATTCACATTAGACCTACAAACTATTGGTGCTTTTTTCAACTCATGAGTTAGATTCATTCCCTTCCTCCTTCCCCCTCTAATGGCACTTGTTCAAAAGTTTTCTCCCAACTTTCCCCTTTTTTTCTGCAAAACCCCAAGTTCGTAATCAACTACTTTCAATTAAATACAACGCAACTCACTTTACATTACAATCAAGTAGGTCATCATTACAATCAACACACCTCACTAACTCAGGTTACAGAGAATGAAATCTATTACATTACAATCAAGTCGATCATCATTGCAATTAAATACAACGCACCTCACATGAAAGGTTGCATCAACAGAAAGAGCAATCTCGCACACTCAAATGAGGATTGAAAGCAACAAGACAGTAAGTCTTGGTAGAGAAAAAATAAAATTCAACAACAAAACTCTTTGAGCTGTTGAACAACAACGGTGTAGATCAGCTTTGCCTAGGTCACATCACTGTTATCATTTTTTTTTTTTTACTAAACCCTTCAGTATTTAGAAATAACATTGAATCTTTATTAACCTAAAGTTAATTGCCTAAGGTAGAGATCCATTAACAGAGCTGAGAGGTAGAGAAGGGAAACTAAGTCTTTTTCTTTCTTAGTATTCTTTATCTGCCATCACAGGAAAACTAATCTTCGAATTAGTTGGTTATGAACTTGGGCTTTTGCAGAAAAAAAGGAGGAAGTTAGGAGAAAATTGGGAATGGCATTTAAGAGTAATTCAAAATTAATCACATTTTGTTTCCATGTAATTTATTGATAGAATTTGATTATTTATATGAATTGAACTTCAGAATTAACAAATAAATCAAATTTCCATCAAATCACTAGCAAATTCACATTTTTTATGCAGTCAGTAGTAGTAGTAATAATAATAACAATAATAACAACAACAATAATAATAATAATAATAATAATAGAGTAATGGCTTTAGCTTGTCTCTACTCTCTAGGGATAAATTTTGATGTATATGGGCCAACCCAGAATATTGAATGTCTATTTGTCAAACTGTTGAGATGTTTCTTGGGCCCACCTGTTGGGCTTCTCCATCTTCAAAAAAGAAAAAAAAAAAAAAAGGAAAAACCTAGCTCTAGCGGTGGTTGGACTTGGCGGGCAAACGGCGCAGAAAACGACACCGTTTCGAGTAATAAAAAAAAAAAAAAGAGAAACCAGGTAGTGGCTGTAGAAGTAATTTCCATCAAAGACAACCCCTTTTACGAAAAGCAGGATATTTTTAACCACGATAAAGCCACCATCTTTTACGTCTCTTCCTTTGTCTCCGTTTCTCTTTCTCTCTGTCTCTCTCTCTCTTTCTGCTTTTTCTCCGGCTATCCCCAAAAAACAAAAATCAAAAGCTCTAAACTTTCCGTTCTTTGGCCGGTGAGAAAGGGTGTTTCTTCTTCGACCCTCTTTTCCTTTCGTTTAGCTTTGCATGTAGATGCTCTTTGATAATCCTAGCTCTCCTCCACGTTGACTCTTCCTAATGGCGAATAACCCAAATGAAGCCCCGGCGGATGATTTCTTCGACCAAATCCTGGGTCTACCAAACTTCGCGTCGGCTGATACTGGGTTGGCCGGAGCTGACGGTGGATTAGCGGGTTCGGCTGCTGCTGGCGCGCCGATGATGCTGCAGCTGAGTTCCGGAGATGGGTCCGGTCACCTTGGTGGAATTGGGGGTGGTGGAGGAAACGCGTTTCATGGGCAGGTGTTTCCTCTGGGGCTGAGTTTGGACCAGGGGAAAGGTGGGCTCTTCAAACCGGAGGAGGCCTCTGGTAGTGGGAAGCGGTTTCGTGTTGAGGTTGTTGATGGCAGAGCTGCTGCTGCTTCTGTGAAAAATGTAAGAGAACACCCCCTATGTTTTTAAAAATTGATAATCTTTGAGTAATTCTACCTTAGTTTTTGCTTGACTGACGAGGAAAGTGTATTTTTGGAATTTTTTAATGGCTTCATTTAATTAAAGAATTTTGTTTGTGGATCTTAAGTAATGATTAATCTTTTCTATACATGAACAAAATGATTAATTATTATTGGTTAATTCCTTTCCAAATATTTGGCTACTGAGTAAGCAGAACATGTCTGTTTGTTCTTTCTTGGATGCGATGCATTACTTTTAAGCTTGAAATTTAAATATAGAGATACTGAATTTATCTGTTTGTGTTTATTTAAGTGTGATGTTATTATTATGTAACCAAGTCTAAAATCAAAGAAGACAAGCAAAAGACGACGAATTGGAGTAAGGAATTTGGAGTAATTTGGTTGGAAGTACTATTGTGAGATACCAAGTTCTATATTTGACAAGAAAAATAATACAAAGATGTGCTGTAGGATGGTCTAGGTATCAAACTCGCTGGATAGAATTACGCAATGAATGAAGAAAATAGACAAGACTTTTACACCATGACCGGAAATTCGTTTTTCAAAGATTAAGAATTCATTACTCCAAGTGCCGGGTCGTATCAATGTAATTTTCATGTATAACCAAAAGAAATAAAAAATAAAAAACTCAAAACTCTTGTATATCCTTATTAGTATACTTGGACCAGACTATTGGGATGACTAACGACTGCTGCAAATTTATTTACTAATTATTTGTACTTTCAGTTTGTTCTGAATTTCTTTTATGAAAAAATAGTTTCCAAGAGTTTTGAAAACTGTAACAGCTATTGCCTCTTTCATTGGGTGTTGAATTTTGTAGACTAAGATTTGAAAAAATATGTTTGATGATGTGGTGTTATTGACTTTGTCCTCCTTACACAATTAGATGCTGTAGTTACTCTTTTTTTTCCCCGTTTTCCTTCTTTATCTTTCTTTTTATTTTCTATAGTGCCATAGTTATTTCCTTCATAATTTTCCAGATTTTCCATGGTCAACCAATGTCAGCAACAGTTGCTGCAGCACCACATCCCCCTACAATGCGACCGAGGGTGCGGGCTCGACGAGGACAGGCTACAGATCCACACAGCATTGCTGAGCGGGTAAGCTCAATTAATTACACATGATTATGACAAACATGGGAATTAGAAATGAATACAAGACATTGGCAGATGTTTGTTTAAATCTCCATGCATGGTTATGTCACTTCTTTGTAAGTCACAACAAAGAAAAAGCAGGGAAAAAAATCTAGAAATCAGGTCCATTATGTTTGATAATTGAAGAGTTCCTTTCTTACTCAGTTGTCACTGCATGTGTTTCTTGGCAAGGCCAAGATTATTTATCTATAAACTGGTTGGTTTGAGCAAATTAAGTTTGTTGATCATTAATTTGGCTCAAACACCATAAATTAATGAACCAAATGGATGAGGTGCTATAAGCTTACTTTTATATAAGTCTAGAGAAATGGTTTATACACTATGATGAACATAAGAAATACTTCAAATCTTCAATGCATTTTTAATTTTGGAGGGAATCATCTAGAGGTGGACTGACTGAACCATTTTTCATTCATAGAACAAGAGTTTATTGATTCTCCCTAGCATTCTCACAATTGAGGAATTTGGAAAGTGGACCTCTTCATTCTGGTCCTCTTGTTTCAGAAATGGTTATGCTTTAGGGTTAGATCTAGGATTCGGTAGCCAATTTTATCTGACACTCAAGTTAACTTATTCATGCTTCTAAAATTGTTTCACAACTGCCTTCAAAATTTTCCTTTGGAACAGTTGCGCAGAGAAAGGATAGCTGAAAGAATCAGAGCTTTGCAAGAACTTGTTCCTAGTGTCAACAAGGTCAGTTACTTTTACTCAGTTTTATAAAATTTATTGCACGATATGGGCTTTTCATTTTAAATAGAAGCATCCTGCATTACTGCTTGTCTATTTTGTTGGAACATAATATCTGGAAGGGGTTGAGGATGCCCTTATGCTTCCTGGAAAATTAAGAGTGTAAACTAGAAGTAGAAGATCCTTCATTAATTTCCTTTTTCCAATGTAAAATTGTGGAGGGCAATGCTCTCTGATTGGCATTATAAAATCAAAATCTGTTGATAATGATTGCCTCAGTTCTTTAGCCTTAAAACAGTAATCTGCTTAATTCTATATATAGTGTTATGAGTAGCCAACCACATCATGTAAAAACCTTTAAAACTATCTAATTTTGTTCTCCATTTTGTGGTAATCTACCTCCTGGTGCTAATCTTCAGGGATTTTTAATAGGTCTATTGATCTGGATAGTAAAATTTGAGCATGAGATCATACCATTGAAGTGAAGTTTATTCTGGTGTCTTAAATATCCAGTCAGCCATTTGGAACTGTTGTCATCTAGGACATATATTTAGGAGTTCTCTCGTTAGTGAAACATGAATTGCCTAATTCCATGGGTAATTTATCATTTGCCAAAACTTAATAAGAACTTTAATTTTTCATCTCAGTTGGAATAATTACATGTTGGAACATGGAATGAATTCTTCTTAATGACTACCCTATTTTGTTTGATGGCTTGGTTCATTAAATTCCATGGTGTCCTTTAAGCTGCTGGCAAGGCTTGTGGACCACTGAAAATATTACTAAAATTTATGTTATTTGTCTTAAAACTGCCACCCCAGAGTTGTGGTGTCTACATGTATTGGATGGATTATGCCCTAGCTAAGTTGATTTTTGTTCAAGAGATCCTGAAATTTGGTGATTTATGTTTGGTTTTTGCAGTGACATCTTGGGAGGTCAATTGCTAATAAAATTTACTTAGCATGCTGTATAATCGTCCTTTAATATTGAAACACGTTTCTTTTTGCAGACTGATAGAGCAGCCATGCTTGACGAAATTGTAGATTATGTGAAGTTCCTGAGGCTTCAAGTTAAGGTATAACTAACTATGTTTCTTATTTGAATTCGCATTTCTCCTTAAAATAAATGAGGCTTGCACTGCTTCTACTGAAACATTTGCTGAATGTTCAGTAAATTCTTTTGCTAGCTCCCCGACAACTGAAAACTGTCGGGAAAAGTTCATTTTCTTCAAGCTGAAAAAGATTTTTGTCCTGATGAATGTGGTCGTGATTTTTGCCATTATTCATTTATGATTAGTCTATAAGTGAGTATCTCTGTTGTCCTTTGCATCTTCCAACCTAAAAGTGCAAATCAGACATCCTAAAGAAATGGAGAGCCTCTAATTAGAAACTTTCATGCTAATCTTTTGTTAATAATATTATATTAATTTATTCGTGCAGGTTTTAAGCATGAGTAGATTGGGCGGCGCTGGTGCGGTCGCACCACTTGTTACAGACATCCCACTATCATCAGTTGAGGTAGTAAATTAATACCTGATCTACTTGTAAGATTGTTTATTTTGTTCCAATCTATACAGGCAACTGAGCTGTCCTCACTTCCATTTCAGGATGAAAGCGGCGAAGGAGGAAGAAACCAACCAGCCTGGGAGAAATGGTCAAATGATGGCACAGAGCGGCAAGTAGCCAAGCTCATGGAAGAAAATGTGGGAGCTGCCATGCAATTCCTTCAGTCGAAAGCTCTTTGCATCATGCCCATCTCGCTTGCCACGGCAATCTACCACGCTCAACCACCAGATACCTCATCCATTGTCAAGCCAGAAACAAATCCTCCATCCTAGACCAAGAAAAGGGTATGCATCCCACCCTCTCTCCCTCCCTCCAGGTTCCCCACATATTATTTTTGTCCAATCCAACCCGACAAAAATAAGTTGTCTGCTCAGTTTCAAAATGCAATCAAAGTCAGATACCATAGTTATTGCTTTTTTTTCCTTCCTTTCCAACTTTTCTTTTTCAAAACAGGGTTCGATGTCAATGCCTAAAAAATTAACAGGCAGGCCCTGTCATATCTTGACAGGTTCAAGTAAAGGAGAAGAATTGTCAAAGCTCACTTGATGCTCTTCTTTTTTTCTCTTTTACCATTGGTGGGGATAGTGGAAAATGATGGAAGCAACTTTTATAGTGGGGGCTCTGATTTTTGGTAGTGGGTTGTGGGACATCCTAAAGGGTTAGATAGAGTATATAATATTGTGATATGCTATTATTGTAGTGTATTTTATTTCAGAGGAAATCAATGCAGAAGTAGAAAGGATATTGGGTTGGCATTGTTGGTGTAGTCCAATGGATATTGATGGTGCATACTTTGTCTAAAGGGGGGTTATGTTTCCAAAAGCAATTTGACTTCTTTTTCTTCTATTCTCTTGTTTCATTATTGGATGATAAATCATTGGAGAGAGGACCAATATCTTGCCTGCCCAAGTAGGATTAGGTCTTTGATTTCGAAAATGGTGATTACTTAACCAACATTAAAATTTATATGTACCCAGATCGAATGCCAAAAAGAAAATTCTTCTATGATTCAAAGGGAATATTTCCTGCAAACCATATGCCCTAGACCTGTTTAAAACGATATGCCCTACCTGTTAAAAGCTGTTGAGGTGCCAAGCCTAGCAGGAGTGCACGCATGACTGAGTGTGAACGTATGTGGGAAGACGTCATCTTAAATTCAAAAGACATTCTCATCCAGACTTTGATTCAGTTTGCGCTCCGAATGAACTTCACCAAGCGGTCTAATAACCGTGCGTCTCATTGAAATTGATAAGTTATTCGTCTCATTGAAATTGATAAGTTATTCATCAGATTTAGAAGTGAATCCCTAATTGCTAACATCTAATAATAATAACTTACTAACTATTGTCCTTATAAAAAAATAAAAAAAAAAGTTTGCACTCCGAATGCTAACCTTATTCCAACCAAAAAGCCGCCAAAGTCGGCACTAATCTATGAACTGTATGCTATTACTACTTTATATGTGAAATGGTGGACGGTATTAGAATTCCACTCGACTGTTACTAAAAAGTATTAACATTGATGATTGTTTTGCATTTTTATAATTGAATCATTTGTACTTGGTCTGAGTCCCTTGTTCCTTGTTACAATGATTGTAAGTTTGCTCATCATTCTTTTTTCTTTGATACCGTCAATAAGCGAAGTACCTAAACATGATTAACCTTTTCAAATCATGCTTTCCTACCATCCAGAGGCAAAATACTTAAACATGACTAACTTGGTCAGAGCAACTCGAATCCAACTGAAAATCAATCGACACTGGTCCTGGGTAAAGAGATCTATCATGTATGGTCACAACAAATATTAACCGTTCCTAGTATTTCTTTTTGTTAAGCCTTTAACTCGATATTATTCTTACAGTAGTGACTTGTAGATTCAATTTGGTCATAACAAAGTAGAATTAATCACGTTTTATTTAGTATAACAAAATAGTGTAAATGACAGATTATATATTAAAAATATGATCTACCTTACGAATTTACTTAAATTCTCTTAATAAAACTATTTCTTATACTATTTCATTAATGTTATGTTTGGGAATGTGAGTTTGGTTGGAATGTATTTGAATTTGAGACTCCAAATTCAAATACACTATTTGTTTATATTAAATAAGAGTGTATTTGAATTTGTTTCAAATTTATGTATTTGAACATGTATATTTCAAAATCAAAACTGTATGTATTTCAAATACTCTGAATTTTAATTCTTAATTTTAGTATTTTGTCAAATTAAATAGGATGCTTGATGACATATTTGATCAACTTCACGATCAAAGCCCTTTTCTCCTTCTTTGGCACAAATCATCTCTTTCTTTTAATTTCATGGTGTATATAATTTTTGAATGTAAATCTCAAATTTATATCATGACTAGCACACTCATGAGTTTGCCAATCAAAATTGAATTATCAGCTATCTCTTCTTCTTATGTGGATACGAAGGGTGAGGCGAAGGAATGGTTATGAACTCATAGCGTCAATGCACCTCCTTCCCCACCAGCCTATTTGTTTGGCCACCTCCCTTCACTTTGCTTCTCTTTTTCTTAGAATTAGCACACTTTATTAGTGCTTGTATTTAAAGGCATGCACCTGTTCTAACTTCTAACTTCATATATTTAATTGGTTGGGCTTCATATTTTGTTCAAGAATGGAGGGGCAATGGAATTCGCTTTCAACCAACGTGCTTAACCCTATTAGCCCTTTCTGTTTGTAAGTGATTATTGACAAAGCTTTTAACTAAATCTATTCAATTGAACTGTTGGTTGATATTTGAAAATTTTTGGGTCTTGAGGTGGTGAGGCCTAAAAGAGTACAATCTTTTTTTGCTTTGCATACCACCTATTAAATAAATTGCCTCACTGCAGTTATGATGTTTTGAGTCTTTTGATACAATACTTCGAATAGAGACTAGAGAGAGAGAAATAGGGGTATTGACATGGACAACTAGAATTGTCTACTAAGTATTTGTGAAAATGCCTCAATAGGAAGAACTAATATCAATTCAATTTCAAATTCATAGTAATTTAATTTATCCAAACTATGTATTTTAACAAGTCCTTAAAATATGTCTTTAAATTACATGTATTTTAAATACAATCATTAAATTCAAATTTAAGTTCCCAAATGTAACCTAAGGGTATTTAAATAAATTTATAGGGATGAACAACACTTTTAATATATAATCTACCCTGAAAAACTTGACCATCTTAATATAAATTAAATAAATCAAGCAAAAGAAAGATGACTTCCAAAATCCGCAAATTTTTTTTTTAAAAAAGGATTTATAATCGAAGTTAGTGCAACAACGCCATATAAAAACATACTTATTTTTAAATCTTAACTGGAATTGAGCTTCATTCAAAAATAAAAAATTACTCAAATATAACGTAAATAAAAAGCACCATTCCTGAATTAAGTTAAGAAACAGGGTAACAATAAACTTTGAAATTACCTATCATGCTGATCCAAATCCAATGTCAAATTCAGTGTTCAGATCACAGTGAGTTCCATTGCCACATTCAACGCATGCTATGGTTTATTCTTCTATCTTAAACATACCTGTAAATAATCTGGCGCCAATCCATGCAATATAAAACAGGTTGGCCTTGCATGGAACCAAACACCCTTCAGGTACCATATCAGCAGAAAAATACAAAATGGTTGAGATTGGCAAATGCAAGACATACATCTCAGAGAAACTCTGGCAACATCCAGCTTCACATTATTAGAGGTAACATGGGCAAGAAAAAGTTTAGCAGGCATCAAGATCACGGCATGGGGGAGGTTTGGGTTCGCCTAGTAAGGTAGTATTCCCTCCTTCTGGTCCACTTCTGATGCGCTTTGGATTTTGTGTACCATGCTGAGAAATGGAGAAGAAATTTAAACATATAGCAATAAAATAAAATGAAAAAAAAAAAAATCCCTAGTCTATAAAAAATAAAATATTACTTCCAGTAGCTTACCGGTGGTTTCTCCCCTCTTCGTAACTTCTCAACCATCTCAACAACTTTTTCTGGAGTAACATCTTCCTGCATTTGAGATCAGATACTCCAAATAAATTTCCAATAGCTCTGTTTCACTATAGCGTAAAAGCACAAAAATTTACGTGATATCAACAAAAACATCGACTTACATAGTAATTGTAAGTATATCCTTCAGATCCATTGGAGTAATCAGCCACTGTAATCATAGGAGCGTTTACACAACATCCCTGCACAAATTGAACCCAATAATATCAGGCCTATATGCCATAAGAAAATATCTCCTGTCCAATTCCCTTTGTCTTGCAAATACCACAGTAGTTTTCTTATTTAATTATTTTTATTTTTGGCAGCAATACCATGGTAGTTAGAACTCAGAAGAAGCAATACAGGTAACTTTTAGGTTCTATTGTTTTTCATCTGGTGCAATCTTTAACTGAAAATATTCCTGCTACCCTTTTTACAACTTTCATTCCAAATCTTTTGTCAAATGATCCTTTGGGAATCACTGGTTAAATTGCATTCTGTGATTACAGGCCACTCCACATTCAGCATTTGTCAAGAAAATCCCAGTGCTAAAGCTAGTTAACAGATGAAGATTCTGATGAAAAAACAAGGGAAAATGACTTACCATGCATTCCATCTCTCCAACAGAGAATAGACCATCCTTTGTTACTTCTGCGGATCACATATAATGGAAGCTTAGTCTCCAACTGCTATTTAATATTTAAAAATCCAACATGAGGTCAATTTAACTTTAAAGCACTAAGACAGATTATGCATGCAAAACTCACCATTGCGCTTAACTCCCAAGTGTTTTAGTAAAGCCTCTTCAATTTCACGAGAACCACGTATCATACAAGGAGTTGTGCCACAAACCAAAAGATGGTACTTCCCAACCTGAAAGAAAATTCAAAAAACCCACACAGGTAAGTTACAACATGTTAACTGAGAATGGCACATAGACCTGCAAATGCAATAAACACAGCTTATCACCTTTGACCTATTGAACATCGAATAAAATGTAGCAACCTCATATACACGGATAGGAGCAACTTCTATAATCTTTGCCACCTGTACAAGTCAATAAATTAGAATCAAATGGTTCTTTCAATGATAAACAAACCAAGCCAAGTGAATACATATGTCAAAGTTTAACAATTTGCTGCATGAAAACCAAATTAATTCTGTTTAACGGCTCGAAGAAAAGAGAGAATATAGAAGGAAAAGAAAGCAAACGAGAACAGTATCAAAGAAATAAAAGAATGGAATGGAGGAGAGAGTGAGGGCTATCTTCTCCCTTGGTTGGAGGTTCAATATAAACAAAAGAAGAGAAGAAGCAGGTGTAAGAAAACTTATAGTTATGCAGACAAAAAAAATTCAATCCAATAAGACCTTAGAACAAAATGGTTTTCTAAGGAATATATTTCCTCCACTTATGAGTCCTAATTTAGGTACTGGAGTCTTAAAAAATTTGATTATGTATACACCAAAGACAAGGTTTGACTGATCAAGTCTTAAAAAACATGATTATGCATGCATTTCAAAGTTTTTATCACTTACTACTCAAAAAAAAAAAAAAAAAAAAAGGAATTCTAAAGGAAATCCTATAAGCTGAAGCCTATTTGCAAGTGAATATATAATCATATTGTTGCTCGGCAAAAATATATACAAAAGAAAATGTCTGCCAAAGTTCAAATAGAAAGAAAGAAAAAAAGAAAATAGGTAAAAGCATAGGCTCTTTTGCAAGTTCAACGTCAAAGTCTAGTCAATGTCCCATTACCATACCCTAAACAAAAATAGAACAAAACATTGAATTGGGAAATTTTAGTTGGCTTAAAGAGAAATTACTTAG